AATGTCAAATGTCATTGACCTTGGCTATCTTCTGATACTTTCATTTGTGAGGGCTTTTTACTTCCGTTATAACAATCTTACAAACAATTCTTCTCAACTTTAGACTGCTCTTGCGCGTGATGTAATTATCGTAGAAGGTTGATTTTTTCAGAGTCTTTAGCATTTTGCTACATTTGCAAAGTCCCACTCTGTGCCACGTGTGGCTCTCGTTCTTTTTTTGTTATTATAGATATCACTGCTTCAAGATTTCACACTACTGATTCTTCTACTATAAATATCCCTGCTACAACCCCTCTAGCAACATATTCTTCTACTACAGATCTTTTTGCTACAGTAGATCCCACAACTACAGCTGATATCCCTGTTTCAAAACCTCTGGCTACAGATTCTTCTACTAAGGATTCTACAACTATAGTATATCCAATACGATTTGAACATGCACCAACTGCTGGTAAATATTAAACAAGAAATGTTATAATAACAACATTGGGTGGAATTCTGGCAGCTGTTATTATTATTGTTACCTTTATTGGATCTTTTTAACATAGTCTACTGTTAATAAGGTAAATCCTGTATTTCATTCTGTTGATAGTCTATTTATTATCATTCCTGTTTTATTTATCATTTTAAGATGATGAGAGATCAAGAGATGCCGAAACTTCTACTATAGATTCTACAACTCCTGTTGTTAATATAAATCAAACTTATAAAATTTATATAGTTATATTGGGTGGAATTCTGGTAGCTGTTATCATTATTAATATAATCTACTGTTTAATAAGGTAAATCCTGTATTTCATTCTGTTGATAGTCTATTTACTATCATTCCTGTTTTATTTATCATTTTAAGATGATGAGAGATCAAGAGATGCCGAAACTTCTACTATAGATTCTACAACTACTGTTGTTAATATAAATTTATATAGTTATATTGGGTGGAATTCTGGCAGCTGTTATCATTATTAATATAGTCGGTATAGCACTCTACTGTTTTATCAAGCAATTCCTCTATTTCATTGTTTTAATTTCTTTTAAAGGAATCATTTAGTTGTCTAGAAACCAAATCAAACTGTGTATGTTGCTGTACAGCAGGCCTGTGCAACCTACGGCCCGCGAGATGATTTCGGCCTGCGAGATGATTTCGTGCGGCCCGCGGCGTCATGTAAAATTTGAGGGAAATGCGGCCCGCGAGCAAATGCTTCGTTTGCTCTTGTCACTGTCGGTGTGATATCGAAACCCATTATAATCCGCGCTGTTATATCAAAGTATGACGTCAAAATGAATCTAACCAACAAAGGTCTGACCTCGTGTGAACAGTGATTTTACGTCAAATATATCTGTTATTTGCAATGCACATTGAAATACGTTATTGAATATATGACTTGAAAAAATTGCATGTTTCTCATTGTTTATTCCATGATTCATTGATGGTTGGTTACGTGGCCCACGGCCTACTCGCATCCCTCAAATGTGCCCCGCCGTTGCGGAAAGGTTGCACAGGCCTGCTTTACAGCATGCCTCATTATCTGTTTGTTAGTTTCATTCGAGATACCGTAAAGAGACCTCTTATATTTCGTGTTTTCTTTCAATTTCCAGGCAACAAAGGACTCGAAATACTCTCGCTGGGTCTGGAAATGGTGAACAACCTCATTATGATTATATTGATTTAACAAGGAAGAACCAAACCAGTCATGCAGAGAATAACGTGATTCCACATTTATATTCGGAACCCGATGAAGAACAGACGAGAACATGTCACACGGCCAATATTGAAGATGGTACTTATTTTATACCATGTAGTACGAGTACTTATAACACAGGCAATATTGAAGATGGTACTTATCTTATACCATGTAGTACGAGTACATGTAACACGGCCGATATTAAAGATGGTGCTTATCCTACTCCGTGTAGTATGAGTACATGTAACCCGGCCAATATTGAAGATGGTACTTATCTTATACCATGTAGTACGAGTAGGGCCAACATCAAAGATCTGGATACTTACAATAGAAATGTTGTGGGGGTACCGAATTAATGCCAACTTGTTTCTTTGGCCAGTCAAATCAGAACTAGACCAACTTTCGTTCCTTTTTATACGCCCACATTATAATGTGGTCGTATAATGTCGTCGCCCCTGTCCGTCCGTCGGTCCGTCTGTCGGTCCGTCCGTTCACAATTGGCTTGTGAACGCAATAGAGACAACAGTTTTTATCTGAATTGAATGAAATTTGGTGTGATCATTTATATTCATGAGATCTTGGACAAGTTCGAATTTGACGATCTTCGATGAACGGTTTTTGCCCTTGACTTATGAAAAACGCGTCAAAATGTGGTTGTGAACACAATAGAGACTACATTTTTCATCCAATTTCCATGAAATTTGGTGTGAATATTTATAATGATGAGATCTTGGACAAGTTCGAATGTGGCTATCTTTCGATGAACGATTTTTGAGTTATTGCCCTTTACTTATGAAAAACGCGTCAAAATGTGTTTGTCAAAACAATAAAGACTACAGTTTTCATCCAATTTAAATGAAATTTGGTGTTAATATTTATAATGATGAGATCTTGGACAAGTTCAAAATTTAGCTATCTTTCGATGAATGGTTTTGAGTTATTGCCCTTGGTTTATGAAAAACGCGTCAAAATTTGTTTGTGAACACAATATACAGTATTAATCCGATTTAAATGAAACTTGGTATGATCATTTATAATGATAAAATCTTAGTCAAGAATAAATTTGACAATTTTTCGATCAACGGAATTTGAGTTATTGCCTATGACTTACTAAAAACGCATCAAATTTGTTGGCGATAGAGGTGACAGTTTATGTCACAATTTTATCAAATAATGTGTGTTTGTTTAAATCAACAATATCTTGCACAAATTAGATTTTTGGTATGATTTGACACAGATAGGTAACTGCCCTTGATATACTGAAAATGTATCAGGAAAGTGGGCGTACCTTGCTAGGCAACCACTTGTTTTCATATACAGTAAGGCTAACGACAACCCTCTTGAACGTTCGTCAAATTAACCTTTTGACCTAATCTGATAAACACAGCGTCATGCCAGTGCTGCATAGAGTTAGGTCAAAAGGTTAATCTGGCGTTCAATAGAGTTGTCGTTAGACCCTATCTAAAGTGGCTACATTAAATCTAAAAACTAATAAAAAAAACTAACGAAAGATTAGACTGTTTGTTAGTGAAATGTATTGCTTGAAAAATATGTCATTTTAGTGGAGTGTATTTGTCAAAAATGCTTGCAAAATGTATTATATTCGGTAGTCTCTGACACTCACACTACTCCTGTCTACGACGAGGATATAGTCTGGGATTTGTGTTGAATTTTCTGTTACGACGCTTTCAAATTCCATTACGGGAAATAACTACAATTAAGCATATTCGGTCTTTTGGCAACCCCCACAAGTTTTGTAAGATTATATTTGATATATTATCCGTGGATGTTAACTTTATCGATTGTTCGAGCAAAGTATTAGAATCCGAAGACATTGTCACAATAATAGAATTATTTTAATTAATTTTTACCATCAACAAAACGGAAGTGGATCTACAATCAATCAGATTCAATAGCCACTGAAGACGCGACCAATTACAGAAATATTAAGCAATCTGTCCAGGCCATCTTTCGTTGAAGCTGTGCTTTAACAAAGTAGGACTTGATGATAGGGGCTAAATATTTCGCACATTGGTACAGTTTTTTTTAATCTGATGAGGCAATGTCTATTCTATAAAAATGATTTACAATGAACGATGTACTATATACAAGAAATGTAACATAATATAAAATATTATAATATAATATGCAGTCGTTTAAACATCAGCAATATGAAAATAGTACTGAACTCTCAAAACACAGTTTGGCAACTTAAATTGAAAATGATAATCAAAAAATATCCTGGTTTAATTGGATTTTTATTCAGACCTGCATTTATGTTCAATTACTTTGTGATAGATGTGGTAAATTATGATTATCATGCAAGAGAACATACACTCTTTACAACATTATGTTTATATGATGTACTTCTATAGTTTAAACAGTATCCAGTTTAAGGTTGAGCTTCTAAAATTTAATCCAGCAATGTTTGTTGACAATGCTGAGAAATATAAAAAAAACAGCATGAAATTTCATTAGCTCTATGTTTAAGAACTGTACTAATGATGAACTGTTCTAATTGAATTTCACTGTTTATTTGTAAAAATATTGTATATTTAATTCTCTATCTATATGTACTTTGTAAATCTTCATGTAGAGGACTAAAAGCTTATAATTATATTATTGATTTATTGTATACTACTATTATTGATTTATTGTATACTAATATTATTGATTTATTGTATACTACTATTATTGATTTATTGTATACTAATATTATTGATTTATTGTATACTACTATTATTGATTTATTGTATACTAATATTATTGATTTATTGTATACTACTATTATTGATTTATTGTATACTAATATTATTGATTTATTGATTTTACTGGAGTGCGGAGTGGTCGACATAAGGGACAAATACCCCAAAACCCATCAATTCAAACTGCTTTCTTCCAAACCAATCCGTTTTTAACGTTCGTTTTTATAATTACTTAACAATTGAGGTAATATCAATGTCTTTTTCTGATTATACTTGTAAAACCATGTAAATATATTTACAATTAACACTATATATTTACAATTGAGTTAATGTCAATGTCTGTATCCCACTATAATTGTATATCGCTGTAAATATATTTACAATTAACACTACATATTTACAATTGAGTTAATGTCAATGTCTGTATCCCACTATAATTGTATATCGCTGTAAATATATTTACAATTAACACTACATATTTACAATTGAGTTAATGTCAATGTCTGTATCCCACTATAATTGTATATCGCTGTAAATATATTTATATTTTATACAATCTATTTACAATTGAGGTAAATGTTATGACTTTTTTCTTCCCATTATTTTCAATTTTTTAAAAATTAAGAGGATCAGTTTTCTTGGACCTGAAAAATAAAATCGATCATAAACAATTGTATTTGGTTAAAATTAAACTTTTTTCAATATTTTGTAGATCATTTTCATTATGTGTATACTTAGACAATAGTATTCCATCAAAACTAATATATTTATATCTTCAATACTGTAAATTGATGTCATTGTTTATTTAGACAACCTGTTTTACTTCACATCTAATAAAATATATATTCAAGCTTCAATTTCAACCTATTCAGATATTCAATGAATCATAAAACAAGATAAAGTTAACGCAATGCAGTTGTATGATCAGCCAGTGGATATCATTGGTCATTGGTTCACCCATTGTCTATTCAAGAGACCTATACTTAATTTTCTTATCGGATTTAGACTGTTGTGAATGTGAAGCGAACAAAATACAAGACAATGAAATTGAAAAACATTCGTTAAAATCCATTTAGTCTCTGAGAACGTACCTGGAAGTCGGACACTACATTATATTACAGATTAAAGACAAGGGTCCCGTTTAACTTACCTCATAAATCGTCTCACAGCAAAGATGAGTAACCCGAGTAACACTATACCACCAACCGTACCGGCTGCTATAGCAATAATATTACCATCTTCATCTCCACCATTATCACCTATATAAATAAAATCATAGAATAGAGTTCTACATCCTACTGGGTGCTTACTGGCAGCCTCCAAAATGTCAAGCTATTACGAACTGTGCTGTGTCTTGACTGCAAGTATGTAAATGCAGGAATTTGGTTAAGTTGTACGCTAGCAAATACAGCCGATCAGAAACCTCGTCAGAAAGTCTGTAAACAATCAGCCTTATTGTTTGTCGAGGGCTATGACTGGTTGTATTCGGTAATGTACATACCAAGAAAGGTGCCTATTGCAGTCAAGGTATCAGACGATGTTCGTAATTGCTTGACATTGGGAATATGTCATAAACAGGGCAATGGACGATGTGATTCGGATGCTAATTTTTTGCAGTTAAAATCGTAAACCATACCACTCCATAGGCATAATATTAATCAGACGTAATCAACTTCACCTGGTGCCCATATCTCCTCCTCAGCTATTTCCATTGAAATGTGAAATGAAAAAACACAAAAAAGATGACACACCGCCTTACCTGTGCTAGCTCCGGTTGCTGTTTCTTCAGTTGTGGTTTCATTTTTAGGATACTGACATACAGTTGTAGCTATAGAAAGACACAAATTATATTTTAAAATATTACACGATGTCGTTTAATGGTAGTTAAAATAACCATACGATTACTATTTAGCATAATCATTTCGAAAACTATAAGTAAACTAATATAAAGAAATGTTCCTGCACCAGGAATTGACAAAGAAGTTGAGCTAAAGGACCTTGTGGCATTATGTTGCTGGATAACACTCGGTAACTGGTCTCTTTTTCCCCTTCCGACCTAGACAAATCTTTAATGCTATTCCTAAGATATTTACTTACCATCCTCTACAACCGGCTGCTCGAAACAACCACCACATGATGCATCTATACCACTGGCTACAAATACAATTTAACATATTAAAAAGATTGTGAAGATGAATTCTTATATATAAATATAAACGAAAAAGGCGTAATATGAGTCACGATCTAAACATTGATAAAAATCAAAGTCAATCAAAAATCTCAAAGAGATATGTATCAGTACAATATTCACTCGCTTTTAGTAAAAAAAATTTTAGAATATCCCGACAAATCTGGTCCTATCAAGTTTCTAATGTGATATTCGGATGGGATATCAGAACTGACATTATACATCTGGCCCTAAACCCAGTTCCGATAACCCACCCGAATATCATGTCGGAGGAATGGGTAGATCCAGATTTGTCGGTCTATTCTAGAGTGTGCTGTTGACAAAAACCGTTGACATGTTACTGAGATACACATGTAACTGAAACTGGAGTCAACAGGATGCAACATGTTTTCATTTTCATAATACACAAGTCCTTAGACTCAGTCAATGGTAGAATTATACCTGTGACTGGGTAGTTCTTCCTACATTACAATAAGTGTTGCTTTGGTAGCGTTTATGTTCTGAATTGCCTCATGTTCTTGTTTATAATAAATACATGCCAGAGTAACACAACACTGTTTTCTCATAGCAATAATCTGTAGCTAATCCGAAACATCTTTCTTTAATAACAAGCTAAACTGAATCCACTTATCCAGAAGGATACTAAATCAGTGCAAAATACATCCTAATTACTCACCGCTTCCTATTCTGACGAACAATGAATCCCCAGTCCTGGCGATCATGTTGTCCAATTGAATCTTCAGTGCTGATGATGACGTGAAGGAATAGGTGTACAGCTTGGCACCATCTGGTTCAGCGCATGCCGACGGTAACGCCCCTAACGATGACGACATTTTAAACTGGCAACACGAGTCGGGATGTAAGGATAATCTATAAACGGAAACGTCTATCGGAAATGAAGCGGAAGTGATGTCACAGGAGCAGGAAGTAGACGTGCCAGCTGTTCGTGATGCACCTTTATAAGTCAGGAAAAGTTCAGTTTCTCCAGATAATGATCCACCAGTGACAACATCAACAAAACTAGTACCTGGAATAGAATTTGTATTTTCAGAATAACATTATACAGTCTTTAGAGTCTTTAAATGATATTTTGAAATTGTAAGCGTTTCTCCACAGGAAAATAATTGATTGATAAAATCAGCCGGAGTGCTGAAACTATAGAGGCAGGGGAGACAGTCACTCTCATGTGGGGTCATATATGTTCTTTCGTCGCGTCCATAGCCGTAGCCAATACTTTGTTTTTTTAGTAATAGTAAGTATGATACTCGAATCAGCTTGAAGGAACAACAATTACTTACTTAAGTGTAATGCAACGTTCCGATGTGTTTCTCCCGTCGTCTACAGTCACACAAGTAATATTGTTTTTCCATAAAGGAATGTTTTTGTTTTAAAAAGTGATTTGGATAGCTGCAAACATAATTTATCAGCTGGTAGACTTCATCTCGTCTGTCATGAGTCATTTTAGATATAAGTCTTAGAACAATACTTACTTGGAATACAATCATAAACATAGTAGGAGAAAGTATAAAAAGCAGGATTGCTGAGATCCGGGTTAAAATCACAAGTTTCTTTCCCATCACAACTGGCATGGATCCGCTCGGTTTCTTTCTGGTTCAACAGCTCTCGAGGATCGTTGGAAACATATTCACAGCAGTCAGCCACGGTGTTACATGACGACAGTGTACAAGATGCCGCGTTTGCCTTTCGTCCGCGGTAGAGTCTGGAAGTTAGTCCAATAAATTTGCCTGGTTTACACGTAAGTGTATGGCTATTACAACTGGAAGCTCCGTAACAACCCACAAATACATGCTGTGTTCTTCCACATGCACCTGAATTGAAAAATGAATATGTAAGAAGTGTGTTAATGTATATCCATCGACTCGTATGTGTTAATATATCTAATAAGCTTTCAGCTATTCTGTTTTCCGACTTCCACGTCAGTCTGTTTGAAGATTGTGCTAATGACCTTTAGAGACTTTTAGACATAAGGACCATCCAAATCATGCACACAAGAAAAGGGGGATATTAAAAACATTGGACTAAAGGTAGAATCAATTTTCTTAATTAGGAATAATGTGGTTTCTACACAAATCTCATTTAAGTACCACGAAAATTTGATATTACCTGTAACTTTGACGCCACAACCTTGACACGTCACAGTAATTTGTTCACCTGGAAGAAAAATAAATTACATGTATGAAGTTGTAATTGGGGGGAAGGGGACAGTGGTAGCACAAGCCCCATCGAATTAGGGTGTAATAAGGGGCCAAACTTGATTAATGTGAAGACAACAGTCGGGTTGCAGGAGCGCAATGGAACGAGATAAAAGAATTTTGAAAAATTCAAGTAATTTGCTCTTGTGTTTCGGCAAAGTGAATTCATAATTGGCTAGGTGCTCTATTCACACCTAATCAATGTATGAAACCCCTTGTACAATTCTAAATGAGCTGTATTAAAGATGGGTTCCCTTATCTTCATTTATGAAAATATAAATGCTAATACTTATATGAATAGAAAGTAGATGTTCTAATGTTCCAATGGAAAAATACCAGTTTGTCTCACATGTCCATAATTAATTCATAATTAACTAAATTAGAAGAGAATTACCAGCAGAATTCCAATGAGTGACCGATTAAGAAAGGTCAAAAAGTCCTTATTTTTTATCCAGACGATAAATACATGGACATTTAGGATTGGTTAAAACTCTTAATTATATGCAATAAAAACATACTGATTTGATTAAGAATACATGATAATTCATTAGAAACACAAATTAATCAAATAGTTTGCTAAATTTGACACTGAAAAATGAGGAATCCCATCTTTAAACCCTTTTTTGCTTTATATTGAAAACATAATGCATTGAAATACAATGTAAGGAGTGGCTTGAAATTTCCCTTGTCATTAGTTACATAATTATTTTTTGCACTTTTTGTTGTTATAAAATCCTCATAGAAGCCGATGTAACGTTTCAATAACAGAACAAGGGTCATATGAACAAAGTAGGACAGATGCGATACGTCAAGAAAGGCTTGAATTTGAAAGATGGGGAAAGCAGTGACTTACAAGTATACTACCTCTTAGAATGGACATACAATTCAAAGTCTCAAACTGGTCAACAAGTGTATATCATCATCAGTTGGACTTACCAAGATGGCATGATTAAAGAATAGAATCTATATAAGAAGATATATGCATTAACCTAAATAATCCTTGAAACGCGCTTCTCAGCATGTTTCAAAATTACTAAGTTTAATTGATTATTACTTAGATTTACGATTTTATTGTATTATAGAGGGATACTTTTGTGTAAGTCAACTGCTAAACAAAGACTCATTTTAACCAAATGTCATCATAGGAGATATTATAACTTAAAGTAAGTTAACTCACTTCCAGCACCCTGAAACAACAGCCAGAAAACGTCTGATGATCTGGAAATCAGGTTCTTAACGTCCAGTGTCAGTGGTACTGATACCTTTCCTAAATAACCGTACTGCTTCTGTAACCCATTTGTTCCACAGGCGTTTAGGTTTACTTTGGATAAACTGGTCGAAAAGCTAGGACAGGTAGTAGCATGAAGATTGACGTATTCTGATCTCACACTCAGTTCTCCTGATGGTGCATCGATCTCACACGAACAAGTTACAGCCTTTGAGTCACTGCGGTGTCGACCATGATAAAACATGTACGATTGGAAGAGAGTTGAAACGGAATCTTTACAGAGTAAACTCAACACCTTGGATTCTGAAAGAAAAAAAACTTCTGATTTATTACGTCCAATTCGTGTTCATTCAGTGTGTACAACTTAAACAACGAGCCGGATTACTTCCTTTCAAGTTAATTCACATGTTTAAGCGCCATGTATTGTACTATTGTATTATTGCAATATTGCCTGCTTATGGACTTATATTTGGTTTGATAGATATATCGTTTTTCTCTTCGAACGAAATATAGAAAAAAGAACGCTTCAATGAATTAATAAATGAATAAATTAATAAATAAGAAGGCGTGAATAAAGAATTGAATTTTGTTCAGCAAAATACACTAAACATAAGTTTTCATCATACGTCATAGATATGTACGTATTTTTGTTTTCATTGAATGTAACTTTTCTACATAACGCATGTAGGGCAATGTATTTTATTTGTATAATTTAACCCTTTTTTCTCATTTGATGGATTTATTTTCAGTTAATGCGATTTTCATACCAATTATAACGCAATTACCCATTCCGCTACTAATAGTTATATATATATATATATATATATAAAATATAATAATATAATAAAACTGGACTTACCCGATACACACACGGTATTATAAAATATATAATGAGAGTTAGAATTGTACGGCACTGTAAAGGTACACGTTTGTTGGGCAGTGCACTCATGTCGGATATACTCCAGTGTCGCAGGTTCTAACGACCCAACAGAAAAGTCACCAGACTTATAATTACAACAGTTCGTTGGGTCCGCACACGCATCTGCACACGGCCCCGAACTCTTCTTGTAATAATAGGCTGCTCTGACAGAGAGTACTTGTCCTGATGAACACGATAAAGAGTGAGTCAAACAGGACTGAGAAATGCAGGTTTGTTCTGAAATGAAACACGTAAGCGGTTAATGTAGAATACAAAAGAAAATTAAATTGGAAATTGATGTTCATACCACTATACCATTGATGAAACAAAAAGATAGCATTTCTTGAGTTAGATAATTCTAAAAATGAACAGCAGATTTAGATCAAGAAATTAGAAAGATTTATAATTATGAGAATTGGTCAAATTAAAAATCAAAATAAAAAAATATAAAATAGAAACGTTAAATTGTAGATAAATATAAAATAGAAACGTTAAATTGTAGATAAATCTAAAATAGAAACGTTAAATTGTAGATAAATATAAAATAGAAACGTTAAATTGTAGATAAATCTAAAATAGAAACGTTAAATTGTAGATAAATCTAAAATAGAAACGTTAAATTGTAGATAAATATAAAATAGAAACGTTAAATTGTAGATAAATCTAAAATAGAAACGTTAAATTGTAGATAAATCTAAAATAGAAACGCTAAATTGTAGATAAATCTAAAATAGAAACGTTAAATTGTAGATAAATCTAAAATAGAAACGTTAAATTGTAGATAAATATAAAATAGAAACGTTAAATTGTAGATAAATCTAAAATAGAAACGTTAAATTGTAGATAAATCTAAAATAGAAACGTTAAATTGTAGATAAGTCTAAAATAGAAACTTTAGATTGTAGATAAATATAAAATAGAAACGTTAAATTGTAGATAAATGTAAAATAGAAACTTTAAATTGTAGATAAATATAAAATAGAAACGTTAAATTGTAGATAAATATAAAATAGAAACGTTAAATTGTAGATAAATCTAAAATAGAAACGTTAAATTGTAGATAAATCTTAAAACGAAACATTTATCAAATAAAATACATCTTAACGGAAACTGCTACAAAGTTTGTTAATTTTGAGAACAAAACTTCTATAAAATCAAATAAATCTAAATAGGAAACTTCTATAATAATAATAATAATAATAATTTTATTGATCACCAATTTGTTAACCAAATCATATATACAATATATACATACAATATATACAATATATACAATATATACAATATTTATAAGTTTAAAAGGACAGATTTGCCATTTTCGGCAGTTGATATATATGGTTTTTGTAAATAGTCTTCAGAAGTATTAGAAACATACGGAAATCGCATAATTCCTTCAAAAATATCTCAAAATAAGAAATTCAATGTCTATATTTGTCTTTTCTACATATAATATGGCAGAGTCACAGGAAAAGACGAGTCGTCTTTTTAACTTTGAAACTCTGATAATTGTGGACAGACATAGATTTGAAGGCTCAAATTTCGAAGGTGAGATGTGAGCACTATTACTGATTAGCTTAGCTAAAAAATCCCATTTCTGAGACTAAGGTAAAACTGAAAGCGAATCTGTCCCTTTGATAAATTTTAAACAGGTAACTTTTATGGAATTAAATAATCAAAAAAGAAATCGCTATTATGTTTTAAAAACAAACCATAAAAGGGACAGTTGCGCCATTTTCTTTTAACCAATCCCACCTTAGTCTCAGATATGGGAATTTTTGTTTTGGCTAGAATTTGTGTCCAGAATTATTCGCGTTTGAAAGTTAAAGGATTAGTCGTTTATTCTTGAGACACTGCCTTATATAAGAGACATCTATAGAAACAGGAAACGAAATTCCTAGTTTGAGAGAATTCGAAGGAATTGTGGGATTTTCGTACATTTCTAGTAATTCTAAAGACTTTTATCTTATATATTTATTAATTAAAGGCTCAAATCAACCCCCAAAATGGCGAATATGTCCCTTTAAATAGAAACATTTATAAATTTGAATCTAAAATAGAATAGAATCTAAAAAAGAATAAATATTTAATTATAAACAAGTTAAATATGAAGTTAAATATGAAGTTAAACAATTGTAAATGAAAATTGTCTGTAAAGAAATAATGTAAAAAAAATAGTAAACCAACCTGATAGCTGATATAAATAATTCATAAAAACAACAACAAATATCGTACTCATTTTCTTCATTTTATCTTTATTTCTACGATACTTTCCAGATACTGTACTGAATCAATTGATTAAAATTAGAAATGATTTATAAATGCTGAAAGAAAATATCCCAGTATTAATCTAACAGTATAATAACCAGAACGGTTTGAAAAGTTTATCTTATGGCAATTCACCAAACAACCAAACAACTATCTCACTCTTTGCTATTTGCAAATATCTAAAACACACATTTACTGCAGTATGATATTTCAAATTCAATTCAAATTGACAAATTCGCTATACCTGTGCACCCATTTTCAATAAAATAAATCTACCAGCACCAAAAGCATAAAGTCGTGATATTTCAAATTTTGATTATATTTTATATCCAACACTATTTACACTGATCATGGATTTAAGACCCAAAAAAACTAGCCACAATCAAATAAGTTTTAGTCAGATCGCAATATTTTGAAACTGCCACCAACCTTTATAATAAGAAGCTTTGTCCATAAGATCACAACATCTCAGTGGCAATTGCCATATATACTTGTACTCCAAATAACAGTTGTCTACGAGGTATATTTTTTAAATGTTTACGAAAACATAAACAATATTTTTAAGCAATAATTTCAAACATTAACTTTCCTGTATTGTCTTAACACTATGTAATTAGTTCACGAATAGCTATAATAACCCATGGTTGGGTAGAATTCATTATTCTAAGACTATTATACAGAAGTTTATGTTGGTTTCAAACCAACTATAGAACTCCTCTCTACTAAAATCTGAACCGAAAACCTCTTTTAAGTACGCATTTGGAATAATTGACACCTTAGTGTTTAGAAATGTATTTGTTATATATGAACAATATACGAGTTGCCTTTTCTTTGAATACCTGGTGTGGCCCACTAGTATTATCCACTTTATAAAAGGCACAAATCGGTATATATAAAGGTATCAAAGTATAAATGTATCAGTATGTATTGTAATTTATAGTACTTTGACAATCACTCAATAACCCACACTTATGCTATACAAAATATTTATGTACATTGTATTTGAGATAATGGGATCCTATAACAGATTTGCTCCATAGTTTCTATTGCTACAATATAAACACAGTGACAAGACATTGAAAAATACTACAATACCAAACGTCAAGGCTAGCTCTTAATGTTTACAAATGACGTCATGGAAAGGGTGGCATCGGGTGGGCCTGATTTCCAAACCCAGAAAGAGTTGTCGTTATTCATAAGTACATTTCGGGAAAGGCAGAAATGACTTCTCCAAAATGTACCGGCCGAGGAGATATTTTATATAAGAGCTTAATATTAAGATTAGGCGTTTTTTAATAATTACTTAGTTTTATGAATTCTGTTGTAACTTTATGACACCAGGTAAGTTCACTGATAAATATATACTCATATTGACCATTCATGAGAATTAAATTTCATGTTCATTCTTAGACATAGCATCACTTTAAATAGGCTATAAACATACAGAAAGTAAGTAAGTAATCTGGATTATTGTTTGATTTCAGAAACACAGAATTCTTTCTAATTGTTGACGATGTATTACCGAAAGTTGCTTAAAGGTAGTATCTCAAAAAAGAGACTTGATAAATTTGACTATACAAACAGAGAAACTGAATCTTGCTAAGTAATCTGGACTATTGCTCTATCAAAACTCCAATAATCAAATCAAGTTCTTTTCTACCGCGACCCCAATATATACAATAGGACCAGATCAATCTCTGATTGGTTGTTTTCGATATACGTTGGGAGTTGGTAACGGTATCCCACCCTTGAAAACGAGTTGTAAATGATTTCTAACGGATGATTACACCCTATAAATCAGAATTAACTTGGTTTTTGTGACCCCTATCCTTTATTATTCTTATTTAACAGTAAACAATTTTTGAGTAGAAGAAAGAGAAATATGGAGGTTAATTTTATATTGTACATCCACGAGAGCTTGTAATCAGTTCATTTGAACCCCGAAAAAATCACTTAAAAGTAATGAAATATAGTACATGAGGCCAAAGTTTGACCAGTATTCTGTTGAATATTTCAAGACTAAGACCACATTCTAGCCCAGTGTGTGTTTTAGAGGATATAGTTGGTAAAATATTCGCTGATGGAGATTAAATCCCACTATCCATAGTTCTGTTAGAAAAACGTTCTCTCATAAAGATATTTGTCCGCTTTGCTTTGAAATTATTCACTTTTTTTTCATTATTCACAGCTCTGCTCGCAGAATGTGTTCTATTGTTGGCCTAGGTTTATTGTTTTAGAAGAAAAAATTATCAACTTATATAAAATTCATATTCAATAATGCGAAAAAAAATATTATAATGAATTAAAATAAAACAAAAAAAGCGATATCATCAAAAGGTGAAGTAATTTTAACAATGATCCTCTAAGCTCACTTTCAATTTCGATATTTTCAGTTTCCATTGTAATCTCACGAGATTTATATCCAAGGTCGCGTACTGGTGACGTTACACGCATATTTATAGCGACCAAGTACACCCCAAACTAAAGGCAATCAGAATCACTTCCACAAGGGAGCATCGGCAATTTCATAATTCGTCATCATATCGAAAGTCAGTTCAATTTTAGGTCGCGCTATTCCACAATTTATAGTCATAATTAGAAACGGATCTTGCGTGATGCGCTGTGATGAACAGTACTCGACGATAGAACCTTCCACGTGGGCGAATACATTAAGGACCATAAAGCGCAATTCATCCTCTACGAAAACAGAATTGCACCATAAACAGTCTTTATTTCTTGGAATGTTATTGCATAACGAACAGAAGTAATCATTTGTCAGCCCAAAAAACAGTTTCTAAATCCAATAACTAATTACATAAAGATAACGAAACAAGTAAAAGGCTTGTCAGGCAAGGTAGCATACGCACTGACACACCTAGAGTACGTCAAGTGTTCCATGGTGAGCATACCTCTCCTCACACACGCCACCTGTCATTATTAAATTATATATGTTCTGTAGCGCAGTCGGTAGATCGTTGGTTCTTTACATGATGTCATTCGTGGGTTTTAATCTCGGTCGGCGTTAAAGTCCGATGACCGTGGATAATTCATCGTCACTCATAATTCCAGTTGACTCAGCTGTAATTAGATTCGGATAATCCGAGAAAGTCTAATGCCAAGAGGTTTGGCCAAGGACCAGCTGGTAGAAGGGATCCTTTACTGTGAACCTAAGTTGTTAAACTTGTAAAATATAATCGTTGTAAGACATTTAGAAGTATCACAGCACATTAAGAAACAACAGTTTTTATTGAATCTATTTATTATAATGTAATCTAACTGTTATTTGTTATAATAAGTAGTTTATGTTGTATCTTTTGAGTTGTTAAGTTTTTAGCTGGTATATATAATGTTCTGATCTGTATGGTTAATAATCACTTGATAACGTTACCTGTATGTGTAATGAAACGTTGTGTTCAATAATAAATAGAAGTCTATATCCATATAAACTGTTGTTTCTTATTGTAAAATATAGTTGTTTCTTTCTCACTCATGTAGTTTGAGTTAGTTGAATGTGTTTTCATGTTTGTGAAATCTGCTCTCCTTCTCCAATATAGCTATAATTAGTATAAGATAACGGAATCACTTCTGGGTGTCGGGAATCTATCCGTGTAAAAAATACTCCATCTTCCTGCATCACCTCTTGACTTTTATATCTAAAATATACACTACTATTAATCAAAAAAATCAAACGTAATTATCGTTTCCAATAGCTTAAAAGATTGTAACACGATAGCAGTGATCCACCATCGAACAAAAAAAAATGAATTATTTCCAGGTAGAATTATCGGCCAGATTGGGACTAGACAGATATAGCATATTACTTGGTACAATGACAGTTTTTAAATCAGAGTCAGTAAGAGAACAGAGCATATCAGTGACAGTTTTTGTTGCCTGAGTGGGGTTAGAGCATATCACAGTATCATGTACCATGACAGTCTTTGACATACCAAATTGTCGAGTCCAACAAACTAGCAGATTGGCACAATATTCCGTGTTTTCTGTATTCAGAATGATACGCGAAAACTAAAAGGTGTAACTAGCAGATTGATTGGCACAATGTCTTGTTTCTGTTGTCAGAATAGGACTAAAGCATACCAATCAGCTAGCAGTTCTTACCTTGAGTGGCATAAGCCTGATAAAACAACCACGACAATAATAACCAACAAAGCGGCCAATATTCCATATATTATGTATTTATCAATTGATTCGTTGTTGTGGTCATCTCCTGTATCGTCCGTGGTATTAGACTTCACTGTTGTAAGCTCAACTGTCGAGAAGCGGTCTGTGGTATTAGACTTTACTGTTGTAACCTCAATTGAGGAGATGTGGTCCGTGGAATTAGACTTTTCTGTTGTAATCTCAACTGTCGAGAAGCGGTCTGTGGTATTAGATTTTTCTGTTGTAATCTCAATTGTCGACGTGCCCTCTAAACTTAGTAGAAAAGTATTATCTCCCTTGTATGGAATCTCTGTCGTGCAGTTATCAATATGGATGTATTCGTTGGTTGTACGCTCCCCTAGTTGACTAGATTCATACGTTATCTTATATTCTGTGGTAACCTCATCGGGATTGAAGGTACTGGTTTCTGAAGAAAAATCAATTAAAACGGATTGTTAAACCAAGCAAAACTACGCATGGTTCTTACATGGAACTAACACACACGAACCTGTTTAGAAATGTCTTGAAATGTGAATTAAAGTCTTTGTTGAAATATTATAGCCTTTTATAAAAACTTATTAAGTCAAGGAAGAAATTCAAAATGTTTGTGAACTACGTTCGTGTGTGTTATTACCATGTAAGAACCATAAGTAGTTTCGTATACATATGTGGCAAAATTATACGGAACAGGTTCAATCATTACGAAGACATTTGAAGTCCATACATCCTTAACATCACAAGATGCACGACCTGAGGTATTGATATCTATATAATATACAAGGTGTAATATAAAATCGCTGTGAAAAAAGTCGTTACCCAAGAAAAGAAATGTGATTTTATGCAATATGGCGATTCGTTTGACTATAGGTGAAGTGTATGTTTTGGGATATAATAATTATTGTTTATTTACCTATTGATATACTATCGTCACACCCGCTACATTTTACATCCATAGCACAATCACCCCTACCTACAATTATATCACGTGTGATGGTTATACGAAGTGGATATTTAGCCGTGAACCGGTTCAGTTCCCTTTTCGCTATTTTACCGGCACTTCCGTTTACCCATGCGCAACAGGAAAATAAAAATCTGAAAACAGTAATTCTTTATCGACATAAGACCACCCCCCCATCATGCATCCCAGAGATACATCATTTCATCTCCAAGAGATACATCATATCACCTCCAAGAGATACATCATATCACCTCCAAGAGATACATCATATCATCTCCCAGAGATACATTTTATCATCTCCAAGAGAAACATCATTTCATATCGGAGAGATACATCATATCAACTCCAAGAGATACATCATATCATCTCCAAGATATACATCATATCATCTCCAAGAGATACATCATATCATCTCCAAGATATACATCATATCACCTCCAAGAGATACATCATATCATCTCCCAGAGATACATTTTATCATCTCCAAGAGAAACATCATATATCCAAGACATACATTATGTAATATCCAAGAGATACATCATATCATATCCAAGAGATATATCATATCATCTTCCAGAGATACATCATATCATCTCCCAGAGATACATCATATCATCTCCATGCGAGATACATCATATCACCTCCCAGAGATACATCAAATCATCTCCCAGAGATACATCATATCATCTCCCAGAGATACATCATATCACCTCCAGATGATACATCATGTCATCTCTAGAGATACATCATATGATCTCCAAGAGATACATCATTTCATCTCTAGAAATACATCATATAATCTCCAAAAGATACATCATATCACCTCCCAGAGATACATCAACTCATCTCCCAAAGATACATCATATCATCTCCCAGAGATACATCATATCACCTCCAAGAGATACATCATGTCATCTCTAGAGATACATCATATAATCTTCAAGGGATACATCATATCATCTCTAGAGATGCATCATATCATCTCCAAAGATACATCATATAATCTCCAAGAGATACATCATATCATCGACAAATATGATCATTAGACGGACGCCTAGTAAATATTATTAATATTACCTCCTAGAGTCAGATACATCATATCACCACCGTCCACCACCAGGTTCGTCATCTGTATCTTAAATTCACCATCAATCGCCCCCATTGACTGGGATAAACTCTGTAGTCCACTGTTAGAACAGTTTAATATATACTGACCATTACAGGTAATGGATACATTACCGCACGAGGACACACTAAGGTTTATAAAATACACATACAGATAAACCGGAAGTGATGTATTGGATATGCTGACAGTACAATCACAGTTTAAGTTTTCTCCGTGGTGTTCGTCACCAGATAGATACAAGTCTAAATAAGGAACTCGACAATTGGATACCGGTTTATAGATATCTATCATATTCGACTCTGAAATGGAATATAAACGACTATGGTGAATAAGTGAAAAATGTTTTCAATGTAAGTTGAATGACAAAGGTATAATTAATGAATTAGTTTTAGAATTTGATTCACTTCTTGCACTCGTCTTCGATTGCAAGATGCGACAGCCAAATGCCTAAATAAGGGAAGAGAAGGGGCTTAGAAAGTTGAAATTTGATATTTCTGACAACTCTGTTTGTGATGTTCTTATTACTCTAAAGAAAACAAATCTGTTGTATCAAGTGTCGGAAATGAGTTTTATTTTACGATATGAAAGAATTTGACACTTTTAAAGAATGTACGTCTGTATCCGCAATTGCTTTAAATAATATGATTTTGACGGGTCTTGATTATTATTGACCAAGGATAAACCCGACAAAACGACAAATTTCGAAATTTATTTTCCTACAGTCCACGGTCTTACCTGCTTTACAAACGAAGGGAATTTCTATTGTCATAGGGTAGTTTCTACTGATGAAGCTGATATTACAACTGTTTTGTCCAACACACAGCCTATACATATCAAGTAGGGTCTGATGATCAAAAGATAATGAACTATTTTCTTTTTTAGTGTCAAAACAAGACACTCTACGTTGCCCAGTGTAGATATTAGATCTAGTGCAAGCCGGTGTGTCGTGGTGAAACTCGTATCGGATAGGTCGTCGATTCCATCCTAGACTGAGTATTTTCTGTGAATTGTTACACTGTATAAGTATGTCCTGGTTGGTGTCTAATGGTTCTAGGCAGGCACACTGTATACAAGCTTTTCCTCTACATTGTGTCACACTCAAAACATGCCGACCTGAAATAAACACTGTGTGAGTTTTGTAGGAAGTGTGCTCCCAAGACTGTGGATACAAATGGGGAGCAGACTAACTTGATGGGGAGGGAGGGGGTGTGCAACTATCTAGCTTGAGATTCACACTACCACAGCTCTGTGGTTAGCACATAGCCCGCTTCTCCCGCAAGAAATAATTTGAGAAAAAGATGCAAGCAGTGGCGGAGCCAAAGTGGACAGAGGGGGCAGGCAGTCGCCCTTCCTCGCAGCCTCGAAAGCTAGTTTTTCGGGCAAAAATCTCTACCCACTAACTGTACCAGCTGGTCTTGAGTATAGGTACGTACATCAGTACATGCATGAATTAACACCACACATCATAGAGTGGGACCAGTGGGAGATAAATATACGACAATACCTTTAACGATTATAAACAATAGTATCACACAGTAAAACATCATCTCGGCCAGTGTTGTCGACAGTTCAAATCACACTTGACATGAGTTATAGTGGTACATGTATATCTCTTCATACCAAATCTTACCAAAATTTTCTTTTACAATACAGGATGTGATTTGAATGGTCTTCCATTTCCTTTCATAAGTATCGTATCCTAGCATCCTAGTATCCTTCTATTTCTATCTATTAAATATATTGAATTAGTAGTCCTAATACAATAAGTAACTTGGTGGGTATTACTACATCTTCATAATATCAAGCTACTAAGTTATACCTTAACTACAAAAAAACCGATATCGCTTCGCATTTTACGATATATTTCCTTTTGTTCGCCAAAATTAAGATTTATTACGACGATCAGCGAATCAAATCAAATAGTATATTTCTGTGTAAACTTCCTGCTAAAATTAGAAATATATTGAAGCTCTCTAGCTGTCACATCACAGGGTTCGTTTGGGAACTTGCACCTCGAAAATATTAAAACTTCAGTTCTTGAAATTCAACAAGGTTTATTCGTTTTTGTCGTCTCGACTCAACTCTTAAAGCATACTTTCTTATCAATAATACAGGGAGACAACTCACTTTTACATATATTATATAACTCAGACCACAATCACATAAGGTGGCTCGTGTCACTGGTACCCGTCCCTCTTTAAATAGGTCAATAGATTACAATCAGCCATGCCCTCCTAAGATATTAAATATCTCGTTGAATGATGGAAACGACCTGGGAAATTCAGTTCAAAGTCTTAACTACAATGGTCAGCAATTCCCTATTGTTATACATAACCTAGTATTTCACTGCTGAAAAAAACAGGGCATTTCCGGGAAGCTCAATCTGGTTTACCTTATTCCGAAAAAGCTGACTCTATTCCCGCTTTTGATAGATATTTTGAAGGGCTGCAACGATTCTTGAAGTTGCTATTCGATACACTATACGATACCCATCCAACGATACGATTTATTTAGATAATTATCGTGATTTATTAATAAGAGAAGGAAAGAGAAAAAATAGTCGAAATTTGTAAAATTACTAACAATTTTGTCACTATTAAGAACTTGAGAACATTTAGAAGTAAGGAATTGTGGAAAAAATCTCAAATTGCAAAGTCAGAAATGAATTTTTGAAAATTTTGATGTGAAAATCATACTTGGAAAAATGAAAACATGACAAAGAATTAATCGTGCCGATACATCATCGGTGAATCGTTGCAGCCATAATATTTTGACATTTATCGGACGGAGTAGGGAGATTACAATGGTACGACTGAACTACAAAATGTCCATGTTTCCGCATATATGTGTTTTCAGAATCCGGTTTAAATAAATAGCGTAATACCCTCACATCTTCGAAAGGGCGGATCAAAATTACCATAAAACAGGCTAATCGGGATGTACACTTGAGTTTTGCTAAAGGTTCTTCAGCCACTCTTCATCGTTACAGAATATACAATTTTCTGTTTTTATGGCGTTACTTAAAGTTATTCACAAAATTTAAAATGACCCCCCCCCCCCCATCCTCTCTCAGCTAAAGTACACTAAAACAATGTTTACATTTGATAAGCTCCTTTTTGGTAAGTCATTAATAACAATGTACAAACATCTGTAGTAAATAAGATAAGTAAGTGTCATATATCAAGATAAGTGAAGGTATATATTCAACTGGTGATAACAGAGAGGTCAGTTAAACAACTTTTATACAGGCCAGCTGGTTATATAAATATGGACACTACAGGATTGCCGATTACGGTAAGAACACTAACTGTATGGTTATAGATTCCTTGGGCTGACCAACTGAGCTGACAGTGGCTCAACTAGGTGATTTGGTCGATTCAAACAGTCCCTATAGACGTTGGGCCATTGTGGACTGAATGATAATAGTGCAGCTCATAGGATCGTTCTGGGTACAAATCGGGTTGGGTGCAATTCGATATTTTCTGTAAATGTACTCAAGAGAATAAATAACATCAACTGAAAATGGATATCACATTACCTTACTTTCAATACAAAGTGGAAGATCTACAAGTGTCCCATGTGGCTGTTTTTCAATGAATTTGCTTGCTTTGCTGCTATTAGTCGAATGTTAGAAAGTTAGGTTTTCTAATCCAGCTGCCCTGTCCCATTTCATTGAGGTCGACCGAGTTACCTGGAAATTCAACCCAGTTTCTACTTGGTGTCCGGGTGAGGATATTATGTCTTAAACACGTGATTGTCGTGAAGATTGTTCTGATCATTTTATATATTTCATAGCAGTGTATAGAGGAAAGACTGTCTAGCAAGGCAGAGGAATTCCTGAACGGTCCACCTGATATTTTACAAGATGAAGCCTATATTGTTAACGTCGATCTGTATGATAAAAGTAATAACCCCGATGGATTTATTAAACTTGGAATATCAGAGAGCAGACTATGTGAGGATCTGATGATAGCCAAGGTATGGTATCAATCATTTATGAATAACTTATTATTATTCCGGGATTTGAAATGCCTAATGTATCACATAGTGTGAACATCACCTACTTAGATATGTCATAATATATATATAGAGAATACCTTTAACCTTGTGCTAGCACGTCGTTTGAATAACATTGGATAGAATCTTGGGTATTTGGGAACCCCTAATATATAATGGAAATTTTGAACAAAAGAACTTGAAATATATTCCCAGGTGTGGCAAATAATACTTTATAAAGACTCCTTGTTGACCAAATCAATTATTCAAGATGATAGTTATATCGATATGCGAAAGTCATTCTGTCTTCAAGCCAAACCTATAATCTAGAATATTACATAAGGGTCGGGTTGTGATCTAGGGATGAGCAGAGTGCATCTGTTTTGATTCAATTATTGACCAATTGGTCAATATTTTAAAAGTAGCTTGCTTAACTTGATATGGTTATAACATTTATTGATAATTTGAAAATTATATATAAAAAAACTCAAATTTGACCTACTGGGGTACTTCAGGACCCCCGAGATTCCATAGGTGTTATAGTCAATTTTTAACCAAAATGGCCCAAAAATTAGTTGAAATATCCCTTACAAAGTGGTCAAAATGGTACCAAATAATTTTTTATTTCATTGAACAACTTTAACAATAAATGATATATTAATGTTTTGACAGTATGTTGTTTGTATTTCGGTGCCGAAATATGTGTAGAGGGATTGGATCAGGGACCAATAAGATAGTGGTGTTTTGGTCGTATCACGGCATATCCTGTCGGGAAAAAATATCAAGAGTTGTTGGCATATTATTAGTGCAGCAAGGTAATTTCACCAACTGACCTGTATTTATATTGAACAGGTCTCATCTTGGTAAAATATTATTCATATTGAATATATCCATAAATTTATTTAATAATTTGAATTAATTGGTGTGTATAAGAGATTAATCTTAATCTTTGAAATGATGTACTGTGTCAATGTTTATTATCGATCAAATGTTCTGTATATTACTTGGCTGTCATGGAAAAATTTGACTTGGTTTAAACAGTATTTATTTCAAAACAAATATACACATCATCACTTCAATAAGCTATAAACTACTGTGTTTTTTCTTTCATTAATCATCACATAAGATACAAACTATTATTATTATTAGTCTTTGATAATCACTCAGATAAGCTACTAATTATAATTAATTATCAAAGTTAGAATATTTTTAAACTAGGGACATTTTTAATTTTGAGGGTGGGGGGGGGGGGGGATCATTTCGACCAATGATTTTGGTTGAAATTAAAGAGTAATTTTCGGTTTAGTGCCAAATTGACATAACCTAAGATAACTTAGGAGTAGATTACAATCTAATTTTATTCACTGAAATCCAGTATTAGCACTGCATTTATCTGGGGTCGAAATGTACCCCAACATACTAGCATGGTGTGTTTCAATTTATAAGGGTAACATATCCGCTAATTGTGATTGTTGCACAGTAGACTGATCATGAACAGGTTAAAAATTCATTCAGCTATAATGTTTGAAATAACCAAACTGCTATCTTCGATGGCATTTTGGAAATTCGAAAAAAATCGGTGCTGGGGTCCCGAAATACCCCAAGTTCTAGCACAAGGGTTAACTTTAAAAGAAAATACCCCCTGTTCCCTAGAATAGATTCGAATATTTGGCAGTAGTCCCTCCCAATCCAAAGTTTTGCAGTCGCCATTGGAAACCTGCCACTGTTATTTATAGATGAAAGAACTACAGAAAACGGAAGAAGATGCTAGTTTAGTGTATTACAGTGACACTAGAGGCTCACCAAAGTGAGTAACTTGCTGCACAGTATTCAGTACATAACCCAACAACACTAACGTCTAGTGTCTAGTTATAGTTTGACATGGATAAAGTCTTTTTTAAAAAGTGCTGTACAAAGCTGGTACAAACGACTTTTCGTTGGTCAATAAACAGTGATGCGAATCTAAGGTTTTGTAAGTTTAAATGGGACTTTCTTTTCATTGAACTCCTACAATTCTGTTGCTGTGAGCTCCTCTAAACCATCCCATACCAATCCGAACTAAGATCCAAAGAATCGCCACTGTACACAAGTCTGAAAGCTGTGTAATAACGTGGCTTCGATTCATGTAATCTAAGTTACATATCGTACATTCCAGATTCAGAACAGCTATGAAGAGATTTCTAGAAAGATTTTTTAAACCAAATCATGCAATTGATATTGAACAAGTTAGTCTTATTCTTTAAAATAAAAATTGTTCGCTTTAGCACGTCTATTCACACATAGATTACTATGGTTACATAGATTACTATGGTTACATAGATTACTATGGTTACATAGATTACTATGGTTATATAGATTACTATGGTTACATAGATTATTATGGTTACATAGATTACTATGGTTACATAGATTACTATGGTTATATAGATTACTATGGTTACATAGATTACTATGGTTACATAGATTACAAACTGTTTGTTATAACTGTATAGACAACACATATGATTGATGGCTTTTATAAACATTGTTGACTCTTAAGAAGTTTATTTTTTAGAGGGTTAAATTTATAAATTTATTTACTGCTAACAATTAGTCAACTCTGTGTTTAATCAACCCTTGGAAACAAATTTAATTTGATCAAATAAATACATAGATATAAATAGCATATTTTAGAAATATTCTAGGTATAATTTATGACGTTTTTGATGTACATTGTAGTTACATTCTATGGCACCAACGTCTATGCTGGAAATGCTAGCATTTTGTTTGGCAGACCCAGGAGGTTAGTACGGGTTCACTTTCACTGCAACACCTTGTGCCATTCTTCGACTTGGATTGATATCCATTGTGGAGAGTCCATACTCATATTATAATATTCGCTTGCCAATTGTCATTGGGTCTGATTTGAAGAGGTGATTTAAAGGCGACTTGTGGCTGACAATTTGACCGGGGTCTTCTTTTGGTGTTGTAGGACAATTGACTTCACGCCATTTGACCATGGCCAAAATGTTGTACCACCTCCTTGGTCAGAGCATCCTTTATCGTAACCATAAATAACAATAATAATAATAAATAGTTCAGTTGTCTGAAGATAGCAAGTTCTGTTTTATGATTTCTTCTATTTATTTTACATGGTTCATAATTAGGTTCAATGAAATTTGCAGGTGGGTTCACTGGAATATTGAAAATATTATTGATAGTAAATAACTATGTGTGTATTTCAGAGTATATTATGACCCCGTCACCGTTTTATTATAATTTTTATGCGGATGTTATGTCTAGAGCTGGGGTGGACATCGTAACAGTACCTGTAGCTGGAATGGTAAGACTGTTAATAGGAAATAAAAATAAATTCTGCCAACCACTGCCAAATGGAATAAAGCCATTCAGTAATTGAAATAAAAAAACTAATTGACTGAAAGAGTCGAAGTAGTTTTATGTAGGGAGTAAAATTCTTGAATATCCTTTACATTCATTAGTAAAATGAAACGAAGTTTTACGTCATACTTTTCTGCGACTATTTGGGCTAATGAAAACTGGCATTGCCATGTTTATGTAGTGTGCAATGAGATAACAATGAGATAACTTTTGCCAGAACAGAGGCATAATCGGTCACTCCGACCTGCATCACTGAAAGGAGGGAACCAAGTTTATAAATTTGAAGATATTATCTCGACCTAGGATTGAATCCTGTTCCTTCAGGTAAGCGAGCAAGCTTTCATTAGTAAAAGTGTGTATTGTTGGTTATAAGACTATTTGCACATGTCATACCATGATGAAATTTGTGAATTCTGCCCCTCTTTCAGGACATCCACGATGGTAATTTGGTATAATTATTAACTCATATGAAATATGACAATACCCTTGACCCACAATAAACTTAGGATAGGAAATTGTAAGAGTGATCTTTCGTATACTAATGGTTATTTTATGTTAATCAACTAGAAAATTATGTATGTGTATACTGTTATGGTCGTGTTAATATGACGTATTTTAGGTTTCCTCTGTGGTAGGGGTTTTATGTACATTTAATTTAGGTGCTGGTATTGCTGATCATAGTCTGAGCGAACTTGCCCCTCCGAACAATCAAGCATGGCTACGGGAAATTGAGTGCATGAACCTAGGAACCTTGGCCGAATAACCATTTCGGAAATGCCTTACATTTCACATATTATTCCAGTGATTGGCATTATGTGGGATTCGGGCAAACCTCAAAGAATAAATGAAATATTAAAATTAGATTGTAAGGTACCCTCACATCATAGCGATGTTACGTTTGGTTGTGAATCGCTACGATGTAATGGCACCTTAAGAAAATGATATTTCTGTGCTTTGCATAGAAAAAGTTTGGTTGTTGTTTATGATACATGTACACACAGGACAAAGGTTCATCTGTATCAATCAGTATGGAGCAAATGGAAGCAAGTTACCAAGCAGCAACACAACAGGTAAATCATAGTTTTATGTACATCGCCTCCAGTAATTTCATAAAATATCACTCAATTAACATGACCTTAGCAAGTGGTTCAACAGTCTGATGGTTGTTACTATCGGAACAAGGCATAACTTGTTATTGCTCATTGTTCACTTGATTGATATCTATCAGCTGACAATAATGCAAATCAACTTCTGGAATGCAATCTATGCAAATTATCTGATGTCTGGTGTTTTCTATAACCTGCCAATAGTGCTGCAATGAAATGCTAACTGAAACATATAAAATATAGACGTGCCTTATATTTGTTGACTGGCCCTGTTTAACACTACAGGGTGGCTCGGTGAGTTAGATGCTTACCAGTTGCACTGTGGAGAGTTCAATCCAGACATAGGTCTTATTAATAATACAGGTGGCAAATGATCTTTCGTATGGGCCAATGAATCGAGAACCATGTGCTACATGAGGTCGTTAGATAACCTACAATCGAAAAGGAGTGGGCTCGCGCCATGTGAAATTCGCTCATTGCACACTACATGCAGTTGCTCGTTATCAGTACCATAATCAAGTGCAGTAAAATGGTACTTACAACTCCATTTTATTTTTTTCAGGGAAAAAGGATCCGGGCTATTATCATATTTAATCCTCACAATCCAGTTGGTTATATTCTCACCAAACATCAGATTCTGAATATACTTCACTTTTCTAATAAGTAAGTACAAGAGCAAACATGAAACAGGGTAAGAGTATGGCATCCCAACGTTTAAAGGTATACTACATCTTAGGATGACCAAGAAATCGAAATGTTTAAACCAAAGTGAGTCTTTGTTTATTATTGTACTTACCTGATGCCAAAGCTATACGACAGAGTCCCTCTATAATCTATAAATCCATAAAACTAAGTAATAATCTATTGAACTTATTACAGTAAAACGCTTCTAAGCGTGGTATATTTTTGACACCAGGTAGTTTAATGGATATCATGTTATATATATATATGAAATATTCTTTAGTCATGACATCTGATCAGTTTAACTGATGAATATTTACACTTGTACTCTTATTGACCAAGTTTGAGACTTTAAAGTTATGTCCATTCTGAGAGGTAGTATTCCAATAATGCAGCGTTTTGTAAAATCCCATGCATATAAGATGGAAGGTCCTGGATAGAGCTAATAACTAGATAACAAACAATCGTGAATAGAAATTGCAAGAAACAGAGATTTTCAATAAAAATAGGTTAAGCATTTCTATAATTGTGTCCTCGATATATACTTAAACATCTCAGAAAACCTCATTACAATTTCGTTAAAGAGACAAGTTCGCCATCCGTTGACCAATCGTCCCTTAGCTTCAGAAATAGGAATTCCTTTAGCTAAGCCAATCAGTAATGATGCTCGCAATTCACCGTCGAAATTTGAGCCCTCAAATCCGTGTGTGCGATTTTCGTACATTTTTAGTTCTCCTGAAGACTATTTACACATATTCAACCTCCAAAAATGGCGAACCTGACACTTATTGTGAAGATGTTGTTTTGTCCTGTTTCCAGATATAAGCTACATGTAATATTCGATGAAATCTATGCACTATCAGTGTTCAACCAAGCCGAGTTCACCAGTGTTCTTTCATTAGATGTTCCCGATCCCCAGCGGTTACATTTTATCTACGGCTTGAGTAAGGTAAGCTATGCGTTGGGTTACACAATCTATTAAAAAATAAATTACCATTTCGTTTTTGTTTTCTGATATGTAATCGTAATTTAATTAAATTGAAGATAACAGGGACAATGATTTCCTTTTTTTTTTAAAGATAACCAAGGGCAATGAACAATATGAACATATCAACAGTTAATCACCCTCTCTAACAGACTTAAGTTGACTCTTGGTTTTTCATAAGCTAAATAACAAGCAGAAGTGTATCACTCTGTTGTACAAGGATATATTATGGATCATGAAAACAATTTTATGAGTCTTGTATTTTGTAGGATTTCGGTTTGTCTGGTTATCGAATGGGAATACTGTACTCCAGAAACAAGAGGGTTTTAAAGTTCTGTAGATTTATGGGAAACAGAGCTCTATCTGCTGGTCCTATTGATTTCAGATCTTCACATCTTCTTGATGATCTAGGTTTGTTATTTCAATGCTTTGTACAAACTGAAATTTCAGCAGTAAAAAAGTGGTTAAGACGTTACCTTCATACCGAAATCAAACTGGTTCACGAAAGTGTTACATGGAATGTTTGAAAACATCATCGATTGCTAATTGCTCCTGTTTACAATTCAGACTGGATAGAGAACGTCTATGTTCCTACTCATCAATCGAGGCTACAGGAAGTTTTTAACAAAAGTAAGAGCAGAGTAGAAAAACTTGGTTTATATGTCTTCCCAGCTCAATCCTGCTTCTTTCTCTGGATCTATTTTGGAAAGGTGAGGATCCTATTCCCTTCATGTTCACAATGTCAAGATATTACGAACTCTGCGTTATATCATGACTACCATGGCCGATATTCTTGCATCAGGGAATACAGCGATTTGATTGATCGTACGCCAGCGAATACAGCCATTCAGAGCCCTCCACAGAAAAACTGTAAACCTTATTGCCTACTGTTAACATACTTTCTGCGATAATTGGTTGTATTCGCTACCGTACGACCCAATCAAATCCTTGCATTTACAAACATCCATGATAGCAGAAAGGATGCTTTTGGAGTCAAAGTATAAGACGGAGTTTGTATTAGCTTACTTACATGAATACATTAGAAGTTTGAATAATGTTATTTACCGGCATATCGTTTCCAAGTGGAGTCAACCAAAGCAATAATCAAGATAAATTATTCAGCAAAAAAATATTTATCTTTTTTACCTTTTTTATTTTAGATTAAAACAGAATCGGAAAATAACATTACATTGGTATGATAGGGTGTATCCTGACAATAGGTTGATTGTAGGTCAATTATTATTTTCTTAAACTGTTATTGTGTAATTTCTAGTTTATGAGGCAGAAGAGTGTGGAAGAAGAAAGAAGAATTGGTCTGTTAATGATAAAAAATAAGATATTTCTGTGTTCAGGCGAGGCCAATTTCTCACCAGCACCTGGTTGGTTCAGACTCACTGTCACTGTCGATCAGGACGAGCTCGAAATAGGTAGGTAAATATCTTTGTTTACAACGAAGTGCAACAATTCGGTTCCCAGACCGACCAGATCAGTGGTGGGAAAACGGATTTGATTTGAGCGAGGTTCAAGGTATCGCTATCAGGATAAATAAACCAAGTACTAACGATCTGAACCGCAAAACGAAACCCGAATTTCAAAACAACATTTTTGGCAATCGTTTTGAGTAAAAATGGTATATAAAAAGAAAGCTTACGTACCAATCGTTTAAATGAAACCCAAAAAGGACATTTGTAGCCGCTAATGAACCTTTCACATGAGGAAGTGCATAAATCATAAATAAGGAAAAGTGGTATCAGGAAGGAAGCATACCCTGTATGGCACCGCAACCCGCTCAATTTTACACACAAGTGCCTGCAATGACTACGTTATCATATTTCGATATGCATGTAAATCGGAGTTGGAAACGTGACTGAAGGAAGGAGTTGATGAGCGTATCAGAAGGATTCCAATATAACATAATCCATATTCATTCTTGCAGGTTTACAAAGGTTAGAGAACGTGGTTACTGAATTGGAATTGGAGAACATAAATATCGGTATTCACAAGTTACCAGAATGAAGTGAAGTCAGTAATTCAAGAAAACCATAGGTGACTCAAATAATAACAAGCTTTATAAGCCACTGCATGCATAAGAAAACACATTAGATCTTTGTCTAATTATAATAATGGAGTAAATAAATATATCAATTTTCTTTTGTGATTGTAGATCACAGTTGTACATTTTTAACATAATATAATAGCCATTCGGAGAAAGTCAACACAAAATCATTAACGTCAGTCAGTGTTAGTTAATATAACGACCGGAAAAAAAATAGTTATTCTTTGCGTTTTGTTTGTTTTTATTTGCTGCACAAATCTGAATTGGAATAAACAGGAAATGGCATGTTTCTAGAAGTGCAAATACAAATAAATAGGTATGCCAAAAATCATATTCATATAAGTACCGCAGTAGAAGTTTTAAAGATGGGTTTCCTTATTTTTTATGTCAAATTAAGCAAACTATGTGATTAATTGGTGTTTCTAATGAATTATCATGTATTCTTAATCATATTGCATATAAATGAAAATAAGGAAACCTATCTTTAAATAATCCGATTAGGATGTATACTTCAAGACCTTTATCTTCTGAATTGATGCCTCGATGGGTCTTGAGTGGTACCAATTTCCTGTTTAAATTAAGACTAAATGCTATGATGGGCAAAAGCGTCTATCATAATGGACAATACAATAGGGTTAACAATAACCGTTCAAAATATAAAAAAGAGAAGTCAGCAGAGAACAGAAGAGTGCTATACAGACTATATCAATAATAATAACAGCTGCCAGAATTCTTCCCAAAGTAACTATAAATCTATAACAACATTATTAGTTTGTTCTGTATCAGCGTCTCGGACTGGATCATCTAAAATTGAATGTTCTGGCTTAGTACGATCTATAATAGAAGATCTAGGTTCAGTCGATAACTCGTCGTCTTCAAATAGAAAACTTCGTTCGGGACTTTAAGCAAAACTGAAAATAATTTGATTTTTTAGGAACAGTTGTTATTTTGGCATTAATTTCTCTCTGGTCAACCTAGGTTGTCTTTTACCTGAGTTTTCACAGTGCATCACAGCTTGATGTCATAATATTTACAAAAATCAAAGATAATACTTAATTGTACAACTCGTGTCTTTTACTATAGCAATAATCAGTCGATCATAAATTAACTCTACAACAATAGAACGTTACTGACGGTTACTCCATATCATCATTTAAGATACATGTATTAGCCTTACCTGTTGAATTTCTACATCCACTACAATCTAAAGATATATCTGACAGGACTTGCCGTGTATATGCTATAAAGGAAAAATTATAAATCTTATGGAAAAAAATATCAAAACATATAACTAAAGCTACACGTGGCACAGAGTGGGACTTTGTTAATGGGTCAATTTGCAAAGAAACCTTCTAGACTTATTAAGAGCAGTTAAAAATGAAATTGGCCGTTTTTGGAGTATATGAAAGTAAAAGCAGATAGCCTATGAATAAAACTTGTTTCCTTGTTTTGAACTGGGCTTTAAGGACAAGTTTGCTAGATACTGTGCAATTTCATTATCTTTTAACCACATATATTCTGTCAGAGTTATGCTCTGACCCCAAAATTGTGCAAAGAGTCGGGTTTACCAATTCAGACTTAACGCATTAACAAAAAGGAATTTACGAACCGAAATCCAGATAGTTGAAAAATAAAAACCTTACCAAATATTTTAAAATATAACACATCTTCTATATCCGGTTCCATTCTCCAGTTTAATGGATGTACCGATGTCATAATAAAAGACTTTAAACAATGTAGTATCACTTGTAGAACAACCAAACATATGAAAAGTTTCCGGGAGAAATTCATTTTAAATGAATGAAGCCAGTGCCTGATATCAGCGAACTTGAACTAGTTATAGAACAGCCACAGTCGATTTTATATCCAATATGATTCTCTCCAGAAAAAATAGAAAGCTGTAAGGGCAGATTGCATTTCTTTGTTACTTGATAGATCGAAGATGAATGATTCTGAAACAAAGTAACAATTCACTATAATGTCAGTTTCTTCTTCTCAAATCCAAATTGAAATAGCCGATAACAACCAAATAATAGCAGTTTTTGGAATGTAAAAGATGGAAATAGTAAAGAGACTGTAAAGAGGTTTCCAAAAAATTTATGCGTATCGGGGACATTGATAGCACCAATTTGCTATTTGTCTATTGTTCACGTAATTCCACTTCAAACAAGCGTTTGATGACGTCACTATTCGCAAAATACACTGTAACACATAAGGACTTTAGTGCCCCCGATACACATAAACAATTTCGAAGACCTCGTTACAGTCCCTTTAGATAAGTAAGATTAATAAGTAAAAAGGTTTTTAATATCTATGACATGGTTATTTTATTTCAAGATATCATTAGATTGCATAGGGCAAATCGGAAGATGATTTCAGTTTAATTATACCCCCATTATCAATGTTCTTTTACCCCAAAATACACACGGGACAGATACGATGTAAAGAAGTTAGAATGACATTTTAAGACACCCTGTTGATGTATCGAACAACTATATAGAATGCTTTGTAATGACAAACAAAATTAGATATAATAAAGTAAACATTAAACAATCTCTAGACTGACTCGAATGACAGAGAAATGGAATATTCACCTATCTTTTTGTCCTTGTTCTTAACCTCTCTTGGATGTTTATTTCACGGGAATTTTTAAACGAACAGTTTTTATACACTTAAATTCGATCCCATATGTTTAAAATAGAGTTACTCCCCTGACATGTTTCATAGCTGTCTATGCCCACGAGAAGTCGAGAGACGAGAAAAAGGCGAGAAAGCGAGAGTAAAAAGGACTTTTTCCTCGCCTTTTTTCTCGCCTTTTTCTTCGCCCTTTTTTCTCCCCTCTCGTGGGCGAGAAGTCGAGAGTAGATATGGCTGCAATCGGCTTCCATAGTCTAATGGACAGATATCAGAATCACTGGCACCTGTTTTCATAGGATGTCCATCAGGTTCCATTTGGATCACGTAATTTTTATCCTTACAACTCATATTGAAAACTGACTCTTCTCCACAACCACATAAAAAACACGACAGTGTATTATCGCCGTTAGAGCGCAGTTGTATCATACCACTTGAATCTGAAATAAGAAAAAACGTATTTCAGTAATTCGATTGGTTAAAACAGAGGTCATCAGATCAGGGCAAAGATTAATAATGAGAAAAAAAAACCTAATTTGCAGTGGCCAAGTAAAAATAAAAAATCAAAAAAAATTAACGAAAGTTTAGTCCAGATTTTATTAGACTGGAATTTGAAAAATAAAGTGATTCAAAATAATCTTTATCTGTTTGCATTTCACATCACTGTTATTGAGACAAAATTCTGTGTGAATCATGCGTGGGAAGGCTAAACTAAAATATAAAATTTACCTGTATAAGCGGACAGAACCAACAACAAACTTATTAAAAACTTCATTGTTTCTCTCGGAGTGTTTCTCTTTTGTTTGTTGAAGTAGATATAAAACGTGTAAAAATATTATGTTATAAACATTCCAGGATGTGTCCTACATATAGGTTGATTATTATAACGATATATATCATTCAAACTTCAAATTAAGGTTATATATACTATCTATTATAGTCTATGGTTCATAGGAGATATAATATTTTTTAATAACCAACAAAATATTTCCTTTCATTGGTTTTATGTGAATATCACTTCTCATTATATTCATTGCGCAATTATGCAAAAGCTGTGACAAACTTTGTACCCAAAATTGAATTCATTGTTTTGATTGGGGAAAATGTAAGCTTGACCAATCAAGTTTGGTTTTGCTAACGCTCTTCGACTTTTGACAGGCGACCACAGTAAACTAAAATTAAAAATGACCAAATGTTGCAATTTCATTGTGACACCTATTCTTTAAGAGGAACGCCAACAGAAGAACAACGGGATCATTTTAATTTCCTCAAAGCTCTGGAGTGTGCTGACTTGGGTAAGGGAATTGCATGATGCTAAATTATTACAACTTCTACTAAATACATATACATATAACATAAAGTGAATATATCAATGAAATATAATATAAATAATTAAATAAACTTAGTTATTTAACGAACAGTTGTTGGTATCCGATTATTATAACTACATTCAGGCATTAGCGAGAGTTTCTGCACCAGACAAAAAATGTTCGAAAAATGAAAGCTGTGCAGGAGTAGGATTTCTGTCCAAGGGTAATATGCACTATATATTATACTAAAAACTTACATATAAAAATTTAAGAAACTAAATCACAATATTCAAAGTAATTAAATAATTTTTAAATGATTCAGTTAGATTATATATTTTAAGATATTTATCCTCTAATTTTCAGCCTCGATGTATGTGGGGTTCATTTACTTGTTAACCTGTTTAAAGGGACTGTTTAACAATCGTACCTTAGTCTCAGCAAGCTTTTAATTAAGCTAATCAATATAATAGTGTTCACAGCTCACCTTCGAAATTGGGTCCTTGATCCAGTCCTGTTGAACCCTAGTCTTATATGACTTGAAACACTGATGTGTATAATAATGTTAAGGAACAACTATTATTGTTAATTTATGAAGTTTTCTTCGAGTTTTCCGGTCACCCATGCAGTACGATTGGTCCAGTTTTGGTCGCCCTAAGAACTCAAATGGTGGGCTATTAGTGAACATTTATAAAGAAAACTTCATAAATTAACAATTACATATTCTTTAACAGTTGCACTTAACTGCTACTGATATGACCATTTCAAGTTCCCTAGACACGTTTCTAATAAAATCTATGCGGTAGGTTCATTTTAATTTTATTCCTTTCATGGAGATGTTACCACTCTTGTCGAAAGACATGTTCAAGTCGAAAGACATTTTCGATTCCGTGGCGATCTCAGCGGTGATTATTGGCGAAGGTAGCGCCCAACATACAATATCTGACGCTTCCTACACGCTTATGGCAACATTAACACTCTGCCTCCCCTGAATTACTTTCCCTTGTAACACAGGTTATTTAACTGTCTTTTCAACAACGATACCTGTCCTGAAAACTGGTCAACAAGTATTATACTGCCTCTGTATAAACGAGGGATCCGAGTATTCCTAACTATAGGGGTATTTCGCTTATTAATTCTGTATCTAAAATTTTGATTTCTGTTATACATAATAGGTTAGTAAAATGGTCTGATGAGAATAACTTGTTAGTTGAAGAACATGTTGGTTTTCGTAAATGTTATTCAACTTCTGAATGTTTATTTTAAACTGTCTAATACAAAAATATATGTCTGAAGCTAAAGGTGGGGTGTTCTATTGTGCATTTATTGATTTTGTTATGGCCTTCGATTGTTGAAATAGAAGTAAAATATTTTATGTGCTACTTACAAAACATATATAGTGTAATTATGTTACTATGTTTCCATTTTTTTCCAATTTTTGTAGATGTATATACTTACGAATGTATCAACCGTAATATGGGCTAATAGCCTTAAAGTTCCTAAATAAACATTATTATTATTATTATTATTATTTATTAGTATACAATTGTAGTTATTTTCCTTAATGAAATTTGAAAGCGTCGAAACAGAAAATTCAATAAAAAAATCCCAGACTACATTATTTTTTTACGGTATCCAGTACTGGCATGACGCGGTGTTTTTCAGGTTAGGTCAAAAGGTTAATTTGACAACGTTCAAGAGGACTGTCGTTAGCCTTACTGAAGTATATTGGGAAAAAATGGAACGAAAGTTTGGTCTAGTTTTGATTTGACTGGCCAAAGAAACAAATTGGCATTAATTCTTTACCCCCACAACATTTCTATTATAAGTATCAACATCTTCAATATTGGCCGTGTTACATGTTCTCGTACTACATGGTGTAGGATCAGTATTTAGATCTTTAATATTGGCCCTACTGGTATTACATGGTGTTGGATAAGTATCAACATCTTCAATATTGGCCGTGTTACATGTACTCATACTACACGGAGTAGGATAAGCACCATCTTCAATATTGACTCTGTTATAAGTACTCGTACTACATGGTGTTGGATAAGTATCACCATCTTCAATATTGACTCTGTTATAAGTACTCGTACTACATGGTGTTGGATAAGTATCACCATCTTCAATATTGACTCTGTTATAAGTACTCGTACTACATGGTGTTGGATAAGTATCACCATCTTCAATATTGACTCTGTTATAAGTACTCGTACTACATGGTGTTGGATAAGTATCACCATCTTCAATATTGCCTGTGTTATAAGTACTCGTACTACATGGTGTAAGATAAGTATCATCTTCAATATTGGTCGTGTTACATGTTCTCATCTGTGCTTCATCGGGTTCCGAATATAAATGTGGAATTACGTTACTCTCTGCAAGACTGGTTTGGTTGATCCTTGTTAAATCAATATAATCATAATGAGATTGTTCACCATTTCCAGACCCAGCGAGAGTATTTCGAGTCTTTTGTTGCCTGTAATTTGAAAGAAAACACGAAATATAAGAGGTCTCTTTACAGTATCTTGAATGAAACTAACAAACAGATAATGAGGCATGCTGTAAAGCAACATACACAGTTTGATTTGGTTTCTAGGCAACTTTCTTGATTTCTTAAAAGAAATGAAATTAAAACAATGAAATAGAGGAATTACCTGATAAAACAGTAGAGTGCTATACCGACTATATTAATAATGATAAGAGCTGTCAGAATTCCACCCAATATAACTGTATAAATTTTATAAGTTTGATTTATATTAACATCTCTTGATCTCTCATCATCTTAAAATGGTAAATAAAACAAAAATGATAGTAAATAGACTATCAACAGAATGAAATACTGGATTTACCTTATTAAACAGTAGACTATGTTAATAATTATATCAACTGTCAGAATTCTACCCAGAGTAGATATTATAACATTATTAGTTTGATATTTACTACCAGCTGGTACAGGAAAATCCGGAATAGAATGTACTATAAATGTAACTTTTATGTTTGTGTATTCCAAATATTATAAACTTGCGCGCTAAATAACTAAAGTGATAACTTTATTGTGTGACAACATTAACTTGGTTAAATTATCAAGCCTGGGTATATTATAACCTTGTTTATGTTTAGAAATATTTTATACTATTGATAAACCAAAGAAAACCAGGGATTCAAAGACTTGAAAGATCTGAAAGTCACAAGGCCTAGTTGACGTGGTACGCCCCAAGCTTTTTACAGACCTAGTCATTTTCTTTGTGTGTAAATGTAGTGATTACGTAAAACAATTTCTTCTGTAAGCTCAACTAGGCGTCATATATGTTACTGGTACCATTACAGATAGAGACTTGGTCCTCAAAAGCACATGTATTTCTCTGCCAATCATATGTTAACCTCAGAACAACAGAGTGGTCATGTTCCTTTAGCAACGGTATTATCCATTATCCACTGTTACTTTAACAATCCCATATTCTCCTCATTAGAGAATAATAACCTCCCTTAGCAGACCATTCAATTTATTCAATCAGAAATCTCGAAACATTTGGTGTTAAAGGATGGTGATTGCAAATGGCGTCCTCCATTGAATTATCCGGAAATGTTGCAGTGTCACATCAAACCCCTTTTCGATTATCCATCGATGTTAAACTTACTAACACGTTTTCTTAAAGGGATACTACGTCTTAGAATGAACATAAAATTTTTGATTTTTAAACTTGACCATTAAGAGCATATATTCATCAGTAGATATACCTGGTGTAAGTAATCTTTCAACTTTGTTTACAACAAACAACAAAACTCTATACCGGACTTCATGGATAATCTCAAACGTTTCCTATCCAGTTCTTCTCCCGAGGATTCAAGTGTCAAGAGATTCAGAGACAATCTCGAATCTATTGAAATTGACTGCTCAGACAATATGAGTGACAATACCAGCGATTCGAATCTTTCCGAACAAATCATAAAGGCCCTAAAAGATAAAACAGTGGTAATGACAATAGCTAATGCTGAGCTAAGTCTTGTTGCCTCTCAGCTCAACGAACACGTCAAATTCCTGGAGGATAGAGTCAATAAACTTGAGACTAAATTGGAATCCAAAGTCGTGAGTTGAGTGATGTCTACGATCGCTAAGATGACATTGAACAGTACGGTAGAAGGGAAGGGATTCGTATTCATGGCATTATTGAGAAATCAGGAGAGTCCACAGACAGCTTAGTCATCAAAGTTGGCCAACAAATAGGCGTCAACATAACTAGGAACGATATTAACCGTAGCCACAATGTTGGTGATCCAGCCAAATATAATCGAGAAAATAATCCACGACCAATCATAGTACGTTTCAGAAGTTACTACACAAAACTTGAGTATGTTACCAATGCAAACAAACTTAAAAATTTAAAGAATTCCAGCGCAGATCAAGTGTTAAAGTGCCACAATATATCTATCAACGATGACCTGACTAAAATGCATTTTGGAC